CTTACTCTACTGTCGATACATAGACGACTGCTTCATCGTCTGTTCCACACAAGAACAGATGGATGAGTGCTTTGAATTATGAAACTGACAGTCAGGGTATATAAAATTTACACGAAAAAAACCAGCCGAGAACTGGCTTCCATTCCTAAACATCCAAATAAAGCTCTCAGCAAGTGGCTATGTAACAAAATGGTATCGTAAGCCAAGTAATGAAAACATACCAGTTCACTATCTCTCCTCTTATCCTTCAGACATGAAAAAAGCACTTATCAAAAAGATGAACTGTACGGCTAAAAGTGTGTACACAGGAGAAGAGGAAAGGAATGAATCGCGAAGCCTGGCACGAAAAATTGCCATTTCCAATGGCTACGAAGTAGAAGCCACTCGGGTTAGAGGAAAACGTAGGGTTGTTCCCCAACATAATGTTCCGGACGTAAGTAATATTCCCTTTAAGCTACCACTCATATCAAATGAAGCAAGTTACTCCATTAAGAGATGCTTAAGAAAAAGTGGTCTTGAAATTATGTAACCATTACTGACATCCCACCCAATGCCCTACGCCTTCAGCTAGATCGCAGCCGTCTTTATGATCGTTTGTGCAGCTCAGAAAACTGTGTGATCTGTCCTAACGGGAGAGACGGGGATTGCATGAGTTTAGGTATAATATAGTTGATCTCATGTAACGCATACGGTGAGGAATACATTAGGGAAACGGGTAGACCAGACCACTTCGTGACCGCATAAAAGAACATCTAGATGGGAAAGTTAAAATTCGTCAAAACACTCCTCTAGGGAAGCACACGGTAAAAAAGCACAATGGCGAAGATTTTGAACTGACTGTGCGGATCCTAGCGCAGGAATCGAAAACATCAACGCGCAAAACTCTTGATGCATTTTGGATAAATTTCAAAAATCCAAAGATGAACCGGAAAGACAAATGCCTCACTGTCGCAAGTGACCTGGTGCCCTATTTCAAAATGATATTTTGACCCCGAGGTGCGTCTTGCGCGCGACCCCACGTGAGCAACGCGTGGACCAGTGTCCCACTCGTAAAATCAGCGTGAGTAGCCTTCCTGATCAATATGGCGTCTATTTAAAAGCTTGATCTTCATTAATACTTCTGCTTTTTTCCACCGAATAATTAAAGTATTCTTATATAAAATACGTTCAGGCTCTGCGGAGGGCGAAATCGCCGAAACGTCAGCCATCGACCAACAACACCAACAACAACGACAACGTACACTAACCTCGCATCAGCTAAAGAAGATCAGTTTATAAAATCATATAAATAAATATATCAACTATCTATGTCGAGGTTTATAGAAATTTGGTCTTTTGAGTTATTAAGAGATGTTCTAGCTCTACATTATTGGTAATGCAATTTGTCAGTTATTCTACAACTCACTGAACTACCTACCTGCAACTTATTGTACATATATATTCTGGATCTTATCGCGTTGTTGTGGGAAAAATATGTGCACGAAAGTTTAATTACCCGAGTTGGGGTACTCTACCCCACAAAACCCTCTGCTTCACTGCTACTATACTCCCGCTCTCTACATTACATTCTTGCATCCTCGCTCTAGTTGGCGACCAATATAGAACAAACCGTGTTAGCATGAATACTACGCGATCGTTGAGACACGAACGAAAACACTCGCCTTTCTTCCCACGCTTTTTCGAAGCGGACGATGTTTTCGTGGGGTGTAATAGCCTCATGGTTTGTCGCCTCGCGCAGTTTTTGCTGACGATTTCCAGCAGATTCGAAGGTGTGCAGAGCCCGCTTCACCGCGTAGCGTTTGCCGGTCTCCCGACACTCCACCTCCAGCGCCTGAACACATGTCGTTCACAGCAATCTCGCAATTTTTCGATGCTCACGAATGTGACAACTGTAACCAGTGTAAAAGAATATGGGCAGCTTAATTGGTTTGGCCAGTTTAAAGCCGTTATTCTACAGCCGAAACTTTTCCTCATCATTTTGATTTTGCATTAAACCTATGTCATTTACAATCATTGCCAATTTTCTACTACCGTCTCATAGCTATTTACGCCTGCTTCTTTCTTAAAAATGAGTACTAGTATAGCGAAAAAGCAAATTCTACCTCCAAACTTTTACAAACAATGAAGTTGAAATATCCAAATACTACTAAATGAGGTTCGGCAATTCACCGATTTCACGTAATAAATAAATGCACTAGAAGACAGTGTTGGTAGAGAAACCCAATTTCTTTCTCTCAAATTTTGTAACAATCGTTCGAAATGTGTGTAACATGACATCATTTCAAAAAAACAATTTCGTTAGGAATTCTCCTGTTCTTATATGACGATGATAATGGTGATACCAAGTAGCACAGCGAGCGCAACGCCACAAAAGATGTGAACCTTCTAGAACACTATGCAGTAAAAAAAAGCATCTAGGCTACATTGACCACCATATTAAACAACTAATAATAATTTCGAACAATCTCAAAAGATAGTACCTCTCCAAACAGCCCCCTTCCGAGTATGCGCAGCTCCTTGAAACATTGTTCGAAATAGCTTCGTTCTTTATCGTATGTATAGATCATGGAAGTACGCTCAACTGAAACATAAAACCGACATTTTCCTAATCCAAGGTGACTTCCATTAAAGGCACATAGCTTCAATCCAAAATGTGGAGGTGGAGTACCATTCAACAGAATTAAATTGACTCACTATTGTCTAATGGAATTCCATTCCTCGACACTTGACGTGGTCTGGACACGGGAAACCCATGTGGATATACTCGACTGTAGGGTTTGCAAACTTTCAATGAACGCGGTTGCGAGAGAACGGCATTATAGCAATACTGAAATCATTTAAGATTTATCTTCACGCTACTTTCAAATAGTCTCAACGTTAATTTTGAAAAAATGGAGAAATTTGTAATGATGTGATACAATGACAGTTACGGTACCACGAGCCATGAAATTGGAGCTTTCTTCGACTGGTTAACTTTCTCGGTTACTTTGTCCTTTGGGATACCCACATACAATATGTTATAGTTTGTGTACGACCTCTAGCGCCTGTTCTCGTGATGACCGTTCAATGAGTACTAGCGAAGTCTCCATTCGTGCTCCTTGCTTGCCGAATTGGCAAAGTGAGCTCTTTTTCCTCAAAATATGTGAAAACCATCACATTTCTTTCTGTCTACGTGAAATTTGACTACTAAGTTTAGAGTAGTCTTGCTCTATGTGTTTCACTTCACAACCCATAGAATTCCTCGCCGGTTTTCCATGGCAACGTCTACTCACTTATAACCATGATGTACGGCTCAAATGATTTTTGACATCTATACAGCAACGTCCTTAACTATTGAACGCCCTCCATATTTGTGTGTAAGGAAAAGATCAGCATCACCGGACCGATAGCACATTATAGATGACCGTCCTTCTTTCATTCTGCTAAACTCGAAGAGACCTCAATTTAAACAAGTACGAGCAGAACTATGAAAATGTGAGCTTGTAAGATGTTGACTTTCAGCACCATTCCTTATATGCTTAAGTAAACTTCCAAAATCGATAATTTTAAAACGGAATCAGGAACCATTTCGCTTCTCTTGAACACTGTTTCCCTGAAGTTGAACCGCAAAGCGATCTTTCAACACGCACTAACCGTCCGGCACTCATTCCCGCAAGATGTTTGGTGTTACAAGAACCACAAAATCAGTGAGGCGCTAACCTTTTAGTTACCAATCGGCGGCATCTACAACATGCGTTGCCACTACCTTTTCTTTCAGAAGCGACGCTGAACAATTATCATAAGCCGTATATAATGCTGAGATATTTGCAAAACTCCGGACTGCAGGTGTATGCGGTGAGGAACGAACACACGCTGTTGTCCTTACCAGGGAGCAGCGCACTTCACCACCACACCATCCAGGTCTTCGTTTTGCCTGTCTCTTAGCTAGTTCTATCGATCTTTTTGCCATCAGCAATCACCCGTCAATTTTCATAAGCTTGTCCTGATTTATAGCATCCCTCTCTTTATGTTAGTGACAAAGGTGTCAGTCAGCTGGGAAATCTCAGCAGCAAAATTGAATAGATCACGATGAGTTTCTGTGTAGCAAATATAATCATCCTAACGTATAGGTTCCATGTTCGCTTCCACGTAATAGGAATAAATGGCTTTCTGTAAATCGAAAAAAAAACACCTATCGGTATTGCGCACTTTTGCAAGACTCAAATGTTTCTTCATATTCTTGTTGAGCAAACGCGAAGAGCTATTTTATTCTTTACTCAAGAACAAACTCACGCTTCTGCGGATTTCGCGCTCCTTAGAGCCTGAAAAGGTCAAGTTCACCGCAATCTACCCAACCAAACACTTCAATAACCAAACCGAGAGAACATTAAACCAAGATTTCAGGAACGTTGAACACAAAATAACTTCTTCACACACTCACCACTTTCTATGAGTCCTCCAATGAATATGTTGCGAGGAGACCAACCACACAGAGTTTTACATGGAATCGTAAAGCGCCTTTCATACCAAAACAATAGTTTTAAATACTGCCGATATTATGGGTGATTACGAGGCATCCCTCTCTGCGGTTCATTTCCGGATTCCTCGAATTAATCTAGAATGCATCGAGAATTTTGCGCTGTTGTGTTTTTGACTCCTGTGCGAGGATCGTCACTTCTACTTCAAAACTTCCGCTAAGCCTCCGTGTCCTATGCGTTCCTAGTGGGGTACTTGGTTTGACTTTAAGTTTACCGACTAGGCGTTCTTCTATACGGATGCAGAGTGATCTACCCGTTTCGCCAATGTATTCGTCTCCGCATGCTTTAAAAGAGATCAGATAAACTGTAACCGAACCCGATTCTATCTGATGGCTCTGATGAAGGCGAAATCCGCCGAAACGTCAGCTTGTTCTTGAATAAAGAACAAAATAACATCTCGCACTTGCTCAACAAGGATATAAAGGATTATTTTCCAATGCCGAGGTTAATAGAAAGACGATCGTGGGAATTATTACGCAAATCTTTTTACAAAACAATTACCTAAATATATTCCACCATAACACATAGCGAACTCTTCCAAATGTGTGACTGCTACTGAATAGCCCACATCAGACAGATTAGCTTTTTTTCAATTTATATAACCCATCTTTCGCATCTACTGTGCAGATCCCAGCATTTCACACAATCGATTCGTTCCCTCCCGTCCATCATCCACTACGGTCTTCCAACTTTTACGTGTGGCTTCGGCTGCTGCTTAAAGGTTTCCATTTCCATGTCGTAGAATGGTGGTTGAGTCGATTATCCTTGTAGTCCTGGGATAGCCAGGCTACAGCGTTCCCACTTGGACTGCAGAGAGAAATTTCTTTTCCGGACGAGTCCGGTATCAATCCCCCAATCCTAGGACGATGACAGTCTTGGTGACTCCGGACCGGCATCGAACCAGTACCGTGCTCATGATGATCGGCATCACTGTCGCTGTGGTATACGACCTATGACAGATTATTTAATTGGTGTAAATATCATAGAGGCATCTATACTAGTCTATCCAACGTTCGGGTCCAATAGGTCATACAATAATACGATACAGATGGTGTCTATTAGCTGGGTACCCTACTTTCCAATACATGATCCTGACTTATTCATGAAACGTTATACCGCTGTGTAAATGAAAAATGACGGTATGGTCTTCAGTTTCTCCTTATCCTATTTGTAGCAGACATTCTTCTGATCCTGGTCTAGACCCGGGCTACCCACCGAATGAACATTGTAGTCTGTGAAGTAAGCTTTAACTATTAAAGCAAAGAATGATATTTGCTGGATTGTCGCTTGATTTAATTTCTATCATGTAAAAAGTTTCTAGACAAGTTCAAAACATATACCACTCTGAGCGAACCACAGCTCACCGAAAGAGGGCTGGGTGAAGAATACGGGATACGCTCCGGAGTTTTCTCCATCTCGAGTGTTGACGGAGGCATTCGAACATTCGAAAGACGTATTTCCGTAACTAATAAACAAAAAAAATCACAGGTATCTTTAAAACAATGTGAGATAACGAGGATCAAAACGAACCGAAATCGGCGTGAAGAAATGATGAATGATTACAATCTATGAACGCACAGCAGTTTGCATTCACTACTGAAAATACTGAATTGTAACTGGAGCTATAACTGTTTATTCTTAACAGCAAAAAGTATTTTTCAGAAAACCGCACTATAGTCTGTGGATCACTTTCAACATGAAATGTAGATTTGGCGCCATACGACTCAAAGGCCATTTTCATCGCCCGTAACATCTGCGCTCTCTTTCAACGTTGAGTGACTTAGCGGGAGCCAGAAAAGTCTTTTTTTTTCTCGTCACCTGCGAAGGTAAGTCGGCCGGACCTTTTCGATCTACGAACTCCATGGACAACCTACATTTTTTCCCTGACTTTCACGAAAATTTCTGACCACTGGTCGTACGGACTTTCGGCCGTGTTCTCCACATTCCATGAAAACCTGTCTTCTGTTATCATTTTAAAAAAAACCTTACACCAATAATTTTACCAACCACATCCTCGTGCTCACGGATATCTCTCACAGAGCCATCTCTTACCGATTATCATAAGGAAACATGGTTTGATTCCAAGTGTATAGCGCCAACCATGGATCAAAAGCGACCCTATGCTTCCTTGAGACAGAAGTGGATCCACAGGATGGAATCCCTGTTTTTGCTGCGCCGATATGACACACGTATTTTGTGTTTACGAGGACTTATTCATCCATGCGTGCGTGGGTGTGTTCTGGTTCATACGTTCATAGCTCAGTAAGTCGCAAAAACGTCAAGCTATGACGAAGAAGTCGAACCCCTCTACGTGAGTTTAGAGAAATTCTACAGAGAAGACCATACATTCTTCATCATTGGGAAATTTCAAAGCCAAGATTTGACCAGGAAGAACGTCACATTGGGACTCAAGAATTAGAAATGGAACGAACAGCGTGAGCTCTTTGCGTTTATTCTGACCAGAAAAACCATCCGTACCACCTCACAATTTCGACATCAAGGTGGAGTTGCATGACCCGTTCGAAAAGAGTAAAAAAAATTGTAGCGCCACAAAATGTTTAAAATTTGGGTTATTGTATAGCGAATATGTGAAAGAAATATTTCAATAATGACAGCAAACTAACGTTTGCACGTAATTCTTCAATGATAACCCGTCCTACTGAACCCACAATGAGGCTTATTCAATTTCAGTTCAAGAAATTTCGGGTAAAATTACACCTGTTTTCGACGAGGTGATACAAAAGTAGCTTCCACCACTTTCCAGAAGCGATCACGAATAAATGAAAACAGTTCGAAAAACTTTCAGTGATAAACTCAATAGCACCTGTAAGCATAACCCGCTCAGCCGATTGTGTAAAATATGAACGACGACTTCCTGAAGAATAAAGTCAGTGAAGCACGCGTTTTGACTCTACTTCTCATTAACGCTCATCTTCAATAGAGAACGACAACGATGAACCACATGAACAAGCGCCTCGCTCTTGTTGTCCTTGTAGAAAAAATTGGAAAGCACTTCCTTCCTTAGCTGTTTATCAGCCCCGTTTTTGAATGTACCTTATTTATAATTTCAAAAGACAAACTGTCAGGTAGGATGCGGTTGCCTTCAATCCTGAGAAACACCTCGTCAAAGGCGTGCCCCGTTCCGATCCAAGACTGCCGGCAACCTACTCTGCTACAGCGTCCGGAGCGTGTAAGGGCAATTCGAGATTTTGAAACTCCTATTCGAATAGGACTAAGAATTTCAAGGAGAACAGAAGTAGATGCTTCGACTTTAACCAAACGTGCACATGAGTTTAACCACCTTCCTTAGTGGTGGCTGCATTACAAAGAAACGTATGAGGAAGGTAATGTGGACCACGATACATACGGATGAGTCAATCAAGTACCTAATTGTCTAAAAAGGAGAAGCATAAGCCCGGTTAAATCCGTTGTAATCCGAAATTACCTACAAACTGTTACCTGCAAACTTTACTGCTTACACTGGTTTTCGTTTTGAATCCCCTCAAATGTTTATCCACTCAAAATCAATAAAGTTTAGTTTGATCATGTGAAATGAGTTTAATATGAGCATCCAGAAATATTAAGGAAACTCTAGGGAAATCATAACATGAATGTGCTGTGTTTTTATAATGAACTGAAAGAACCTATAATTTCAAAAGATGAGTAATCCAAATTAATCAGCGACACGAACAACAAAGAACGTTCTGGCATGCGAGCCACACAAGTGCTAAGTGCCTGGTAACCCGAAGTGCAAATGAATAATTGTGAGTGTAAAACTCTCGATTTCAACGTTTCGAACGATTTAGTAAGAACATGGAGCGACTGTTTGCTCTTGGTTTCTTACTTGGATGGTCCGCCCTCACTGGTTGTGCGGCCCCCAGCATGATCTCCATTTTTTCGGAGTTTTGTTGGTTTAGCCATTTTGGTTCCTTGGAGTCTTGAAGTAAGCCAGGACAAAGTCAGCCACAGATCGTCACCACCACAGGCAGTGGCCGCCCCTGCGGATTAAAGGGAGATTTACCACCATACGACAAGTTTGATACCAGGACTGTGGTGGGTCCTGGTATTGGTTTACTCCATGTCTTCCTGGTGGAAACGCCGGACTCCCTCCCAACTTGGGAGGCGATGAATACCACCACTGTACATCATAGCCCGACACCCAGGAAGATCTCCCAGCTACGATGAAGCCGGTAAATCGTTATGAAGTGCTCTTGGTTATTACTAACAAATTCACAACACTTAATTCACGCCGTCGTTCGCCTAATAACTAATATTGAAAAATCGCTCCATGATTGCTGACATCAAAGATGAGCTTTGGTGACTTTCAGTGAGAAGGGGAGGCAAGGGGACTTATAAATGAAGATATTTCTGCCACCAAAGTCAGAATGTCGCCAATAATTTCAAGCAAACAGAACAAACTTAATAGGTGGCAAATAGAGTTAAGGACAGAAACGAAGAAAAGGTGTAAGATGTGGAAGCGAACTCCGGCTGGATCAAAACATGTCCAAACATAATGAAATGATGCAGGAGAGAAAGTAGTGGGAACCTTTAGCAAACAACTTCTTCCAGAAGAACGACGATCTCATTAAGTATGGGGGGAAAAAACAACATTGGAGCACAAAAGACAAAAATGAGAACTAACGGCACTCATCCCATTAAGGACTACGCTTAGTTTTAAACCATGAGCGATCTGTATTGAAAAAGCTCGCCAAAAAAATTTTTTTCCTAACAATCATTAAGTCTAGAGTACGGTTTTTCATAGGTCACGTCTTCTACAACATTTGTTGGACAAGTTATTGATTGAATCGAAAGGATATAGCAAGTTCCTAGCAGTAAAGTGAACATATTTACATAGTAACTTTGCATGTATTGATATGAATGCACATTCTCGCATGATTGTTAGTTCTAAGTGCAGAAATCTCCATATGATGAGCATCCAAGTCCAAGCGTCTTGTCAATTCGCATACCTTTTAAGATGAAAATCAAGAAATGCGTTGATTTGGAAACCACTACATCTAATTTCCTCCCAACGGTTTACCACCTCATCGTGGCTGGTAGGTGTTTCAGAGTGTCGGGCTGCGATGTAAAGCGGCGGGATTCATATCCACAGCAGGGTGTTCCAAAGTGAGATGGAGTTCGGCGTTCTTATCATGAAGCTCAGCTAAGAATAAACCAATACGAGGATCACCGCCCTGGTATCAAACTAGTCGCACGGTGGCAAATCTCACTCCGATACGCAAGGGAGGCGAGTGCTTGTGGTGGTGACGACCTGGGCCAGACTTTGGCCAGGCTGACCTTGGGACTCCAGAGAAACAACATGACTAAGCAAGCAAAACTCGGAAACAATGGAAATCATGTTGGGGCCTACATAGCCAGTGAAGACGGGCTATCCAAGTACCCAAGTATTTCTAGTTTTCCTATGGTTTCCAACAGATGTCCAAACATAGACGATGGTAGAAGATGTCAGAAATTGAACTGAACAATCACTGTGTCATTCGAGGAAAGATTTTTTGATTTTTCCTCCCACAGATAATAACAAAAAGGCTCAAAGTGGTTGAAGCGACTAAAAAGTAATAACATACGTAATGGTGATGCACTGTGTGCGGTGAGAGGACTTTTAGAACCTCAGCTCAAACCGTACAACTTGAAGAAAGCAGTTCCAAGGGGTTGTGAGGAAAGCGAGGCGCATATACGATGGTCAAATCCACGTTCACAACAAACTTATGTTAGCTTGATAGTTCGGGAAAATACTGTATGCAATAGTTGTCATTGTCAAGACACACTGCACAGCATAGCAAACAAGAAAACAGATAAACTTACAAGCAAACAAACAACTGAAAACGAAAATGACTGGGTGGCCGGCTGACGGTGGCGGACGCCAACGGAGGTTTGCGTTTGAAATGCGCGCGCGGTCAGTGCGAACGGCGCAAGCGTCGACGGACGGCCACGGGGCGCCTGCCATGCTCGGTGCCAGATCCGCATGATGAGCGCTCTACTATCACGCCGCCGACGTCGAACAGACGAAGTTCCATTCTGTGTGCTTCCTGTAAACTGAAGCCCCGTAGAACGATATGTTCGTGATTTAGCGTTTGAAGGTGCACGTTCGACTTCCACTTGATTGAGACTGGCGGTTTCGATCGATTGATGTTGTCATTAAGAACTGTCAGATGAGCGATTGACACACTAATGTTAATTTTTCTTCTCTTTCAATCAGTTTTTCCGAAGTGAAAAGGACATGCTTTTGTGGGATGAATTTAGTAGTTATCAGGGTTTACTGCCGTCCTGGTACCAAACTAGTGGCATGGCAGCAAATCTCCCTCTAATCCGCAAAGGCGGCGTCTGCCTATGGTGGTGACGACCTAGGCCGGACTTTAGCCAGGTTGACCTCAGGACTCCAGGGAACCACGATGGCTAAACCAGTAGAACTCCGAAAAAT